GAGGACCACTGAGGCACACCCACACCGGAGGGGCCAAGCTGGCCTGGGCACCTGGCAGGCACACCCATGGCGGTGGAGGAGGGCCCCACTCAGGGCACCGAACACTGGTACCCTTGGACCTGCCTCTGCTCCCCCACCAGGGGTCTGGGACAAAGTCCTGGGCTGGTGTGGGGCTTGGTAAAAAATAATTAATTTTTCTTTTCAAGTGAAAGCTCTCACTCAAGCCTTTTCCTGTCCCTAGCAGCCACATCCCTGCTTAGGCCCGAGCCACAGAAGCTGCTAGGAGGATCCATGGCCTCTCCATGGTCAACCTGAGTCTGCTCTGAGTGTCCAGACCCTACTTGGAAGACCTTGTGGGCTCCAGGTGAGTGGGGTCCAAGGCAACCCTGGGACCTGAGTGCAGCTGGGAGGGGCAAGGCCGTGGTAGTCCATTGTGTGTGTGTGTGTGTGTGTGTGTGTGTGTCGTGCTGTGGGGCAGACAAGGCATGGTTGCGTGGAGATGTCTGTGGCTCTGACATTACTGTAGCAGGGGGTCTGTGACAGGAAGCCCACACCTCCAGGCGCCCCCGGAGTGCTCCCTGCCTCAGACAGAGCCCCCTGGCCTCCTGTGCCCCCAGCTTCCCTCCCTTTGCCTTCCTGAGAGGTGAGAAAACCAGGCTTCCTGCTGCAAGGGGAGGGGGCTGCCCGACCAGCTGCTGTGGGAGCCTCCAGTGACTCATCTGGGTGGGGGGTGTTTATGAGCAGCCGAAACGGCTGTAAAAGTGGCACCTCGGTTCACTTATGGCCTGGCCATCCCCTCCCCTACCAGCCCCTTGCCTTGAAAAGCTTCCAGAGGGGCCTGGAACCAGAGAAAGATCTGGGATTGAGGCTTGGTGGAGGCTCAGCCTGGGGTCAGGGTTCAGCTAGGGGTTGGAGGTCAGACTGGGATAAAGACTCCACATGTGGAGGGGAAAGCTCTCTCTGGGATTAGGGTTGAGATGGGGATTCAAGCTGACTTTGGGGCTAAGGTGGGGGGATGAACTGTTGAGGGTTTGCAGGCCAATTTTCCCAGAGAGCCCCCAGAATGGGATGAGGGGTTTTCTGAGGGATTGAGGCCAGGCTGCAGAGCTGAGAGCTGAGCATCTGTCTTTCGTTTTTTGAGTCTGGTGCCCACCCTGGCCCTAGGGTCTGTATAGCTTGGCTGGAGCCCTACTCAGAGCAGCAGAGTCCAGTTTAGGGCCTCTGGGCTAGAGTCCAGACCCTGCTCCAGCTCTGAGTTCCAGTCATCTCCTTGGCTCTTCCTCCTAGGTCCCCATCAGAGAAGGGAGTCCCCATAGGGGACTCCCTCCCCCCCAACCAGGCCTTTTCAAACGCCACTGAAACTGACCTGAAACTGACCAGAAACTGACCCCTGGGGCCCTGGGGCTTGCCTGACAAAGAGGGCAGGCTGGCTCTGCCAGGCACTGGGGTGCTAACTGTTAATGTGTGACACCCAACCCCCATGGTGGCACTTTAACCAGAGGCCGGAAGGTGCCTTAGGGGATCAGCCTCACCCAGCAGTGGTGGAATATCCAACAGGGGCCTCTGGAGTGAGGCACAGGCCTTATGGCGAGAGGAACACCCTTAAGGGGCCCACAGCCCATCGGACCCCTCTCTGCAGCCCTACCCACAGCCCACGCTGGTCCTCCTCAGTACAAATATTATTTGTTTCCCAATCTCAAGCTTTCTGGTATCAGATCTGAGGACTCCCTACATCAGTCCCCAGTTTTACCCCAGTTGTCCCAATCCCTCCATGAATGTTCTTTTCCTATCACCATAGGGTAGGGGTGATCAGTCATAAAACCATAAAACAGAGTAGAATGGCTTAGAAACAGAGACATAAAACTGAGACCATCAAAATACAACACTGAAGAACCACAGATGTTCTTTAGGTACCCACTCTGGGCACCTGAGCCTCTGTCCCTGTTCCGAAGTAACCCACACACCATAGGGGGTAGCCCCCAAATCACAGCCCTCCCCCCAGTAGTGGAAGAGATGGGGGTCACAAGGAGGGAGGGATGTTCTTTACACCAGGCACAGAAGCATGATCCCAGCAGAGTAAACTCCAAAGGCAAGGGCAAGGGCGTGAACATGGGGAGCAGACCAGGAGTCTAGTGGACAGTACTTGTTGGGGAGAGTCACCTCTGGAGGAAACTGCCTCAAACAACATAGTCCTTAATCATCAGGACAAGAAACTTGAAAGTAGTGGGGCACGGAGGAGGATGTGGCCACAGACTCACAAGGAAGAAGATAGCTGTGCATCCAGTATGGTAGATGGGTGGGTTTGGACCTGGAGAAGGGTGGGCTGCCAGGAAAGCTGGCTAGAGCTGGCAGTGACCTTAGGAATTAGGCTTGCAGATCCATTCACGTGGACAGTAGGGGCCATCCCTGAGATGGTGGGGAGGCTGGTTTGGGGGCTGTGAGGAGCTCAATTTCCACAGGCTGAGTCTGGGGAGCCCACAGAGCCCATGGGTCTGGACACTCACCCTCTGCAGCACTAAAACAGTAAAGTTAAAAGTGCCCTTTGAATCAGCTGGTCAAGTCCCCGTTTTACAGATGAGGAAACTGAGGCCCAGACAGCAGGAAGTCGTCCTGCCCAGGATACACAACCGGTAAGTGGGTGAGCAGGGACTGCCATTTAGCCCAGATGATATCTCCAAGGGTCCCAACAGTCACATTAGCTTCCTCCTGACCATCCTTAAAGCCCTCCGCTCCAGGCATCCCAGGCCTTCCCAGCATCTCAGCTTCTCTGCGTGATACTGAAAGATGGCAGGCTTGGGGTCTGAGACCCCTTCCTCTTAGCGCTACAGCGTCCCCTCCCGGGTCGGAGCATGTAACCCCGCCTCCCCCCGCCCCTGCCCCCAAAGACTCCTCCCGCTCATCCCCCAAGTTGAGGGTCCCCAGTGGACCAGAGCCCGCCAGGAGTGTTTGGGGGTGTGAAGGGGTGGAGAAGGAGGCGGGCCTCGGGAGTGGGGGTCCCGGCTGAGCCCCGGGTCTTGCGGCCTGCAGCCGCCCGGGGTGGAGTCCGGGGCGGAGCTGGAGAGGCCGGGCCGGCGTCTGGAAGGGTCGAAGACTCTGAGAGACCCCGGGGAGAGACTCGGGAGGGTGGGAGAGGGACGTGAGCCCCGAGACGCGGGCAGGGGCGGGGGCGGGTCTAGAGCACCGCGGACCTACCCACTAGGGAGTTCCCGAGGCTGGGGGTCCAGGCGAGGGCGGGGCGGGAGGGCGGTGGCGGTGGAGCCAGGCGCGGGGCTGGCGGCCCAGCAGCCTCCCCAGGGACCCGGGTCCAGCCCGAGCGGGAGTCGCGCGGGCGCACACACAGTGCTGCGGCCGGGGGCGCGCGGGGTACCTCCCGTGAAGAGGTCCTGCTTCGCGGCTGAGGGCCCCTATTCACCGGCCCCGGCAGGCCGATCAGAAAAAATAACGTCTGTGCTTCCCGGAGAAGAGAACGGAGCGGCGGCAGCGTCCCGGGCTACGTGCCCGGGCCCCGATGTCAGAGCTCCCTTGGCCCCGTCCCCTCCACACTCACATCCCGCCGCTGGCGACCCGGGGCGCGGCCTCTAGAGAAACGTCCCGGGGCAGGGGCAGCGGGCTCCGCTCGGCCGCTC